TCTGGGCCTTCCTGCACTTGGCCACAGGCCAGGGGAGCAGGATCACCTTCATAATCACTGCTGCTCCAAGTAAGCAGAACTGGGTATCTTCGGACCTTCCTAGAGTTGAGCTAATTTACTTAGGACATGTGGTGGCTCAGTCAGTGTCTCTGGCACCAGGACAAGTGGAATAGGGCCTCCTGACGTCAGGTCCTGGGAAGCACATTTCACAGCATTTCCACCCAAACCACATTCCCTAATCACACACACGTAAGAAACTCAAACCCAGGGACATTCCACAAATAAATCACCTGTGGTTTTTTTTTTCAGAGAAAAAAGCCAAGGAAATGTTCATGATTAAAGATAAGTGACGAATGTGAAAATAAGTTTGGATTTAGTCTGAAAATAAATTACTAAAGAAGACTACTGCAAAAATCAGTGGAATCTGAATGTAAACTGTTCATTGGTAATTCTATACTATCAATGTTATATTTCCTTAATTTGAAACTGTAGTGTAGTTATACAATAGTTATCTTTGCTCTTAGACATTTTCTCCCGAAGCACTACACTGTAAAGGAATATGATGCTTACATGTAGCTTATTTTTAAATAGTTCAGAAAAATCATGTTAGGGCATGACAGCAAACTGGAGGAGAACATCAAAGAGTCAATCTGCTAAGTGGTATCAGACATTAGGTCATCATTATTACTGTGATTTTCTATAAACTGAATTACTTTAAAATAAAACTGGAAAAATTACTATTTCAATCTAAGGGATTTCAAGAGAACAGATTTACACACACACACACTTCAACCCAGTAGAATCTGCACTGACTTATAATTATCTATTCGATGATTCACAGGAAACAGCAACCTGTTTAAAACAAGCATGATACGTGCCAATCAACTGATCACAGTTGTGACTCATGAATCCAGGTCAGGGCAAAGCCCGCCCTCTCCCCAACCATGCTCTTCCCTTCTTTTCAACATTTCCAAAGAATGCAGACACAGTTTTCTAACAGAGGGATGTTTTTCTCCAACTACGAGCAAGCATCTCTGCCACTAACTCCTGTCTGCTTCTGTCAGGGAATGAAGCAGAACATAAGAAGCACTAACAGAGAAACCAGCAAAATTTCCACTTTCAAACAAGTCTGTAAAGGGCTGCGGCAACACACACCCTTCAGAGCACCGCACCTGGGACAGAAAAGCAACAGAATGGCCACACTGAGACGGACATGCACAGCCATAATGCCCATAAAAAACAAAGACCAGGAAGAAAGCAAAGAGAGAGGGCCAAACAGCAGAACAGGAGACTGGCTAGGAAACAACGTGTTCAAGGAGGAAATCCCTGTGCCCCCAGCTCTCCCTCCTCTGAAGTGGCTAGCTGTGAGCTCCAAGATGGTGGCAGCTGTACCAGCTCGGCCCTGGCTGTGTCTTAGGCAGATGCTTCTTTTTACACTTGGAGAGAGGCCTCGAACGGCGTCTATCAGGAAATTCTCACCCAAAAATGCACATTGGAAAGGAAATGAGGCAGAACAGTTCACAGTAACAGAGGGAGGCAAGAACTGGAGAGACTGGAGTCAAGGCTGGGAAAATATGACCTGGGAAGAAGAGTCATATTTAATCCTAATCTGGATATGACTTCATCAGGTACCACCAAGACCACCAACAGTGAGCTCTGTCATCAAGCTGTGGCAGCCTCTGCACGAGATTCACCTTGGAGATACCACAGCAGCAAACGCTGTTTTGTTTGAAGCAGGCTTGGAGTTGGCACTGTGGCACAGCAGATGAGGCGCAGTCTGTGACACCAGCCAGCATCACTGGACAACGACTGGTTCAAGACCCGGTGGCTCTGCTTCTCATCCAGCACCCTGTGAATGGGCTCAGCCTGGGTCCCTGCCACCTGCATGGGAGATCTGGACAGTACGGTCTGGTTCCAGGTTATGGCCAGCCCTGGCTGTTGCAGCCATCTGAGGACTAAATGAGTACACAGGTCACTGTTTCCCCCTCTTTATCATTCTGCTTTTTATTTCTATATCATTTCTGACCTTTTATCTTCATCCTAATCCCAGTTCCTGTCTTATTCCCGTTTTCTCTGGTAGAAGGTGCTCTAATTTCCCACTCTCAGGACTCTGCTTAGCTCTCCAACTTGCCCTCTGCTCTCAATTTAAAGTCCAGTCCTCTGAATGCTACAGGAAAGTCAGTTAAAAAGAAGCATCCCTGAACCACCCATATTGTGATTGAAAGGTAATTTACTTTTCAAAAATTAAGTTTATTCCATTTTAAACTTAAATTCTCAAGAAATACAGGCTGATACATTTATGTGTCAAAGAGTTTACGGAAAATGGAATTAAAAGTTAAGTTTTTGGTCTTATGCAAAACTTTTGAAATCTGTACACTGTATTGTGTTTTTCATCAAATGCCTTTTCCATGAACTGAAGATTCCTGATAAGCAGGAGCAGGTCAGATTGCAACACAGCCAGGACTCAGCCAGCCATTCAAAATCTAGCACATTCTCACTGTTCCGGGTTCTAGATAAGGAAAGCTAAGACAAAGGGTGGAGGCAGCCAGAAAGAGCAGAGTAAAGAGCAGGAGGGTCAGTGTTGTGGTGCAGCTGGTCAAGTCACTGGCTGCAATGCTGGCAGCCCCTAGGGGTCGTGTCTCAACTGTTTTACTTCCAATCCAGCTCCCTGCTACGGTCTGAGAAAAGCAGAATAGATTTGGCCACTCACATCTGAGACACCATTTGCATACCTGGCTTTGGCCTGGTCTAGCACTTGTGGCCAGCTCCCTCTCCGTAACCCGACTTTTAAATAATTAGATATTTATATTTAAAAAAAAAAAGGAATACAGAATAATAATAGCTGGTAACTCAGTTCTCTCCTTGAGCAATGATCTATCTCCTCTATGAATACTAAGAAATGACAGTCCTGTACACTCATCTAACAGCACCAGACAGCCACACAGGCACACAGTGGGACAGCACTGAGAAGAAAGTAACACTGCGGAGCAAAATACAGGTGACTCTCTAAATCACAGTGCTGCATTCAAAGAAAACACTACAAAGGACCACATGGTTCTGTAACGCCACTGACAGGACATGTCACAGAAATTCAACCAGAACAGATCCGGGCAGATCCAGAGACTACAGATGCGGAAACCTGGCAGGGAGAAGGGATAGTTACCTGGGAAGTGCAAGTTGCACAGCTATATGGACCCATGACCAAAACTGCACACGAAACCAGAACATTTTATATTATGTAGTTATTTTAAGAAAGCTAATTTCAAAACAAAACAGGATAGGATGAAGAAGTAGAACATCATTATTTGGTGGATAAATACTATGCTGCAAGTGGGAAAGTTTAGTGGTGAGGAAACTAAATATAAAAGTATCACCATTCCTCAGTACAGCACAAATTAACACACGAGTGCTAGCTGAAGCTACCCCATGTAATTCAGCCCACAACATTATTTCTTTTTAAAGATTTATTTATTTTCATTGGAAAAGCAGATTTGCAGAGAGGAGAGAGAAATACCTTCCACCTGCTATTTCACTTCCCAAATGGCCCCCAATGGATGGAGCTGAGGATGTCTGAAGCCAGGAGCCAGGAGCATGGAGCCTGGAGCCTCTTCTGGGTCACCCATACAGGTGCAGAGTCCCAAGGATTCGAGCCACTCTCTAAGTGGACTAGCTGGGAGCTGGATGGGAAGTGGAGCAGCTGGGACACAAACCAGTGCCCCTATGGGATCCTGGCAGATTGGAGGTGGAGGATTAGCAAGTTGAGCCATCAATGCTGGCCCCTACATTCTTTTGGTAAAACACTGATACAGGGAGAAGCAGACTGTGGCAGGGGCAGAGACAGACAGAAAGGTATCTTCCCTTCTGATTCACTCCTCAAATGCCCACAAGTGCTGTGCATAAAGGCCAGGCTAAGGCCTAGAGCCAGGAACTATCCATATCTCCTACATGGGTGGCAGGGATCTTAATTACTGCAGACATTTTGTGACCTCTCCAGAGTGAGCATGGCCAAGGCCAGGAGTCAAGTTGCAGGTTTTGTCCGAGTTGCTGAGCCAAGAGCCAGCTAGCTCCCTCATTACATTCTGACGCCACTTTATTTTAGGAGCCATCTGTCTCACTCACATTGTACAGTGTTTCTACTCCCTGGCACACTGCTGAAACAGGTACTCTAGGCAAACTTTTATCGCTTGTGCTTACACACATTATAAAAACAAACTCTAAAACTCTCTATCAACCACAGCAAATTTAATCACCCATGCAAAAATCTAATTACCTAGTCTTTTCCATCTTTGATTTTTTTTTTTTTGATCAATCAGGGGATGTGTTAATAGTATAGAACACACTAATCCAGTCTAAATTAACTCCTTTCCTAGCGCCAGGCCATTAAAGTCAGCAGTGGACTAATACGACAAGTCCTTGTTTGTTAAGATCTTCTAATTTGCACTGTATTCTAAGAATTTAATGGCACTCCGAGGTCATTTGCAGAGAATATATCAAAAACTTGTGCTGGTGAAATCAGAGAACTCCTTTTCTCATCACTAAAACACCCTTTATGCCTAACCTTCACTACTCCTAATGCCACAACACTAGCAATGTGACCAATTTCCAAGTCTGCCTGCATTAGGAAAAAAGTATACATTAAAGGAGGAGCCTATCCCCTCCAAGCTGTTTTCCACAGCAGACAGATCACTCTGACCACTGAGGTGCCTGTTGCCTGGCCCACGAAGGCTCTGAGAGGTTTAAGGTAGTCATCTAAAGATGAAACTTGACTTCTGTTTCTACACGTAGTTATAAATCAACAAAGCAAAGTGAGCCAGTGGGGGCAGTGGGGAAGTATGTAAGACCTAAAGTCAGGTGGGATGTGGAGTCTTAACCACATGGGGAGCCAAACACCTGCTCCCTCCAACTTGTTTAAACATATTTATCCTCTTAAAATTTTAAATCACGTATCCCTAGAAGTTTAAAAAAAAGGCTGAGCTCCAGCTCCAGCCGAGCGCGCGCGCGCGTCCCGCCGTCCCCGGGCGGGAGCCGGCCCCAGTCGGCGGGAGATGCGTGTGTCCCGGGCTCGGCCGCGCTCCGGGAGTTCATGCGGCGCTGGAGGCTCCTGGCCGGCGCACTAATCGCCTTTTGCCGCCGCAGAGCCAGCTCCGTCTCCCGCGGTGAGCCTCCCGGATCCCCTTGCTGTCTCTGGTGGCGGCGATGACCGGAGAGAAGATCCGCTCGCTGCGGAGGGACCACAAGCCCAGCAAAGAAGAGGGGGACCTGCTTGAGCCCGGGGATGAGGAAGCGACGGCTGCCCTCGGCGGCACTTTCACGGGAGGCAGGCTTGGCACGGGCGGCGGCAAGGGCAGCAAAGCCTGCCATAAGATTTTCAGTAACCATCACCACCGGTTGCAGCTGAAGGCAGCCCCGGCCTCTTGCAACCCCTCGGGCGCCCCGACTCTGCCTTCGCACAATTCCTCCGTGACTGCCACCTCCCCATCCCAGGCTCTTGTGGCCAGCACGAGCCCCATCGCTGTCGTCGCAGACGGAGGCGGTTGCCCCGCACACTATCCGGTGCACGAGTGCGTCTTCAAGGGGGATGTGAGGAGATTGTCCTCTCTCATCCGCACACATAATATCGGGCAGAAAGATAATCACGGAAATACTCCTTTACATCTTGCTGTGATGTTAGGAAATAAAGAATGTGCCCATTTACTTTTGGCTCACAATGCTCCGGTAAAGGTGAAAAATGCTCAGGGATGGAGCCCTCTGGCAGAAGCCATCAGCTATGGAGACAGACAGATGATTACAGCTCTTCTAAGAAAACTTAAGCAGCAGTCCAGGGAAAGTGTTGAAGAAAAACGACCTCGATTATTAAAAGCCCTGAAAGAGCTAGGTGACTTTTATCTAGAACTTCACTGGGATTTTCAAAGCTGGGTGCCTTTACTTTCCCGAATTCTGCCTTCTGATGCATGTAAAATATATAAACAAGGTATCAATATCAGGCTTGACACAACTCTCATAGACTTTACTGACATGAAGTGCCAACGAGGGGATTTAAGCTTCATTTTCAACGGGGATGCAGCACCCTCTGAATCTTTTGTAGTATTAGACAATGAACAAAAAGTGTATCAGCGAATACATCACGAGGAATCAGAAATGGAAACAGAAGAAGAGGTTGACATTTTAATGAGCAGTGACATTTACTCTGCAACTTTATCAACCAAATCAATTTCTTTCACACGTGCCCAAACTGGATGGCTTTTTCGGGAAGATAAAACAGAAAGAGTGGGAAAATTTTTGGCGGATTTTTATTTAGTGAATGGACTTGTGTTAGAATCAAGAAAAAGAAGAGAACATCTCAGTGAAGAAGATATTCTTCGAAATAAGGCCATCATGGAGAGTTTGAGTAAAGGTGGAAACATAATGGAACAGAATTTTGAGCCAGTTCGAAGACAATCCCTTACCCCACCTCCTCAGAACACTATTACATGGGAAGAATATATATCTGCTGAAAATGGAAAAGCTCCTCATCTGGGTAGAGAACTCGTGTGCAAGGAGAGTAAGAAGACATTTAAAGCCACGATAGCCATGAGCCAGGAATTCCCCTTAGGAATTGAATTATTATTGAATGTTTTAGAAGTAATAGCTCGGGCCCGGCGAGGTGGCGCAAGTGGTTAAAGGTCCTCGCCTTGCACCCCCGGGATCCCATATGGGCGCCGGTTCTAATCCCGGCGGCCCCGCTTCCCTTCCAGCTCCCTGCTTGTGGCCTGGGAAAGCAGTCGAGGACTGCCCAAAGCTTTGGGAACCTGCACCCGCGTGGGAGACCCGGAAGAGGCTCCTGGCTTCGGATCGGCATAGTATCGGCCCGTTGCGCTCACTTGGGGAGTGAAACATCGGACGGAAGATCTTCCTCTCTGTCTCTCCTCTCTGTATATCCGCCTTTCCAATGAAAAAATAATAATAAAAAAAAAAATAATAGAAGTAATAGCTCCCTTCAAGCACTTTAACAAGCTTAGAGAATTTGTTCAGATGAAGCTGCCACCAGGCTTTCCTGTAAAATTAGATATACCTGTGTTTCCCACGATCACAGCCACTGTGACTTTTCAGGAGTTTCGATATGATGAATTTGATGGCTCCATCTTTACTATACCTGATGACTACAAGGAAGACCCAAGCCATTTTCCTGATCTTTAACTCGCTGAAAAATGATACCACCTACCCAGGAAGAAAACTGCAGAGAAGCCACAAGTGAATCCAAACAGAAGGGACAAATGCTTTCACCGAAGAAAAGGGAATTCATTACACACTGGACTGCCACATCAGTGACATGATAGCGGACACGGGCCCCTCATAAGAATTCAGCAAGTTTTCTGATGTGCCATTTTTGGTCTTTTTGAAAATACAGTTATTATAAGCTTAATAGTTTGACACTGTAATGACCCCAAGACCTTCGTATGTAAAGCAGCTATGAGTGCTGTGATTTGTTTTTAAACATTTTTACACTTCCTTCTTGTTGAAATATATATGCATATAAATATATCTATATCTATACCTAAAACACTCCTGGACCATTAACATAAATTAATGTCTTAAGAGATATGAAGCCCTTTTAAACTTGTCATCTTATATTCAAGGTGACATTTATAAATATTCCTTCCAGCTTTGTTTTCATAAAATGTAAACTATGTAACATTATGTATAGTTCAGTAATTTGAATGTTTGTTCAATATAATGAACTAGAAGGAATGCAGATTTCTGTAGACGAATGAACCAAATGGCAACCATTAAACAATTGCATTTCTATGTTGCAATACATTTCAGAAGGAGCGTTCACTCTGCAGGGAATAAGGTACCTCCTTTAGCACCTGAGTGCAATTCATTGTGGTGCTATTTGTTTTTATCTGAATTCTTTCTTCAATGGAAAATGTTTGTTACTAATCTTTCTTTCATAGAACCTCTATTTTTTTCCTAAAAAAAAAAAAAAAAAAAGTTTAAAAAAAAAAGTCATTTCTCATTATAAACTTCAGATTATTTGAAATTATAATAGACAGTTTCTGTTGGTTAGACAGAAAAAGTGCAGGCAATACTAACTACAATAAGTAACACAAGGATCGGGTGCTTGCACTTTTTCACTATCTAGTGAGTATAACCAAGCTAAATACATGCATTTGTACTCAAGTTGGGGGGACAAAATGTTAAATAAAAACTTGGGGAGACAAGGGTTATGGTACACATAGGGGACTGCTGGGTGATGGTCCATTCTACGTACTGTGTTCTGAAGTGCAGGAAAGACACTGTGTTGTGCAAGAAAAAAATCAGAGACATCCAATGTCAATACTGAAGAATATATAAAATGCTTTTCTCATAAAAATGTGCAATAACAAGGAAAAAAGAAAGTACCCAAGAACACACACTCTATCATTTAGAACCCTGGTTATGACTGTGGCGACTGAAAGAATGACACATGATTAAGTACAGGCTAAGCCAAGTAACAATGTAGGAAAAAAGCTACCAATATATCCACAGCTATTTCCCCTACTGAAATCCAGAGCCACTGGACAAGTGAATATGTACTCACCAGCCCTTCTCCCACAGGGCTCACAGAGCAAATAAAGGTTTCTCAAACAAAATGGACAGTGCATGGAAATGCACTTCTCAGAAACTGCAATAGGTTAGCAAAGAAGCACCCTATAAATAATAACATCATCAACCACCAAGGAGAAGGCAGTTGGCATTTCCTGGGGAGACACACACAAGAAGGGACTACTCTTCCTGAAAATCCCACAACAAGCATTCATGAAGCACACACTGACAGCCACGGGGGCTCGGGGAGTGAGCATCCCACACTCGGACAGCCATGGGGGCTTGTGTCGATGCTAACCGAGACCCTAAACATTGGAGTTGGTACTTTTAGCTGACAGACAGCATTGACCCCACCATCTAATGACAAGCCAGGTCTCTCTCCAGTTCTGAAGCCACAGTGAAGTACAGTGGGAAAGCTGTGGCAGCTGGGGAAAAGAGGAGACAGCATAACAGATTCCTGGATTCTCACTTCCTGCCCCAATTATTCCCGTACAAGAATGCAGTCACCATGATGCTTCCCACTAACAGGAGAGGCCAAACAAGTCCTCCTTATCAAAACTTTTCACAGCAGTCAGAAGTGACAAGCTTTCCCTGTTTCTTTCTTCTTCTTTCCATAAAACAAGTAGCAGAAGCAACACATACACATGCCTTCACAGAATGAAGTTACAAGGCATACATGCTTGCATCATTACAGGATGTGCACCTGCTACAGAGAATAAGAATTTCTATGGCTAACTTGGTTTCTTTTCCTTCACTCTGTACTTTAAACCTACCATGCAAAGGGGCTCCACTGAAAAGATGGAAGGCCTATTCAGATTCATACTCTGATTATGCAAATGTTAATTATGAAATAATTAGATCTCTGAAGATTATGATCTTTCAAAAATGTTCAGCTGTCACTAACACCTTACAGAAACCCTGGGGTACAATTATATGGCTACTTGTTGTCCCTGTACTTTGAACACTGCTCAACATCTTTTCATTTCTGTCATACTGTGTCAGTAGACAGGACTAAAAATGACGGGCAAACATATAACAAAACATCTAATCTGCAGAAGAGCATGGTTCTATCTATTCCTATCAATCAGCACACACTTTAAGAGTCATTTAACACGCAGGGGTTCTCGTTAGTGTGAAATGTGTCCTTCCTCACATATATTTTTAAATTTGATTTTAAGATGTGTCATGAACTCAAATGACTACAACCAGCCAGCCAGGATACATTTTCGCTCCCTGCCAGCAGACACTGTAATTCCACCACACTCTCACCAGGAGAGTTCAATCACCAAAACTATAAAACAGTTTGCACCACAAACTGTCCCCTGCAAAGATCTGTTTCTTGGAAATACGGTTTCTGCAACCTTAGGGAGCAAAAGTTTAAATTCAAGAATGTTGCCAGCTGTTCTATCACTGATGATAATGAAACTAAGTATAAAAAACTGAGACCCTTCTCACTAAAGACAAAAACAAATCCAGGACGCTGATAACAAATTACAAATCCTGAGGGGTATTTTTTTCTCTGAACTACTTCACTCTTGCTTTTCACAGGAAGAAAGCATTATAGAAAGATTAACTAGGTTATCTAAGCGGAACTCTTTGTGCCCATTTTATCTGAGTGGAACTCTGTGTGAGGACAGCAAACAGACAAGGTTTGATTATTCTGAGAAAACTTTCAAAACCATGGGAAGCACACAATAGAACTTAGAGAGGTTCAATCAGGGCAAACCAGCCACCCAGCGCTCACACCAAAAGACTCTGGTGCCATCTTCCATTCACACCTTCCCTATGTCACCTGCTTCGTGCTCCTCCTCCTCCCCGCCACCCCCCCGCCCCCCCGGCTCTGCCCTCTTCTCTGCTAGAGAAGCACCTGACAGTGCTAAACTATGTGGTTCTCACTACAAGGACCATACAATACTACTGAGATCTTTCTTTGCCAATCCCTCCTACTCACCAAATGAAGTTCCACCTATCAAAACCTAGGATGTTGGGGGAGGGGGGGGAAATCCCAGCCTACACAAAAAATGCACCACATAATTCAAAATTCAAAATAAAAATATTAAAAACCTTAGGACGGCCATGTCCCAGCAAGACCACACAGGATTTGGAGGGGAAACACACAGCTTTGGTGAATACTTCAAAAATATTCCCAAAGTTTCCAAAGCCATTATAAGCTAAGAACCAATTACCAAAAAGATGCACGGCATATCAAAATCCCATCATCACTTGCACAATAGTTTGGGTTTCAAAGTTCTGGCAGCCCTAGGCAAGCGTCTCCCAAATACCACTCTAGCTGAGCCCTCTCTGCGGGATTCCATTTTTACTAACTTTCAGCTGGCAATGCACATAGATGTCACTCTGGCTGCCAGTAAAAAACCCTGCAAAGAGTGTGGGGCAAGACAGATGAAGAACAGCTAGCAAAAAGTCAGAGAAGCAGGGACAGGACAGACCTGCAAGCTGCACTGTGCCCCCAATTCTTCACAAGATGCTTCGAGGCAGGAAGGACATGGAGAAGAGGAAAATGAAGCTTCGGGGATCTGCTCTGGCCAAGCAGGTATAGGCAGCTGCCACCAGGCCCCTTTCTGTTGCCCTCATAAAATACCCAGGGCTGAGTGCTTCATACAGAGAAAATGTGACCGAGCTCATCATTTTGCAGACTGTCCCAGGTTTGGTGTCTGGGGGTGGGAGAGGGGCTCATGTTGGGTGGCCGAGGACACCAGACTTGCTCTTTTCCAACAACTCACTCCTCAGGCCAGCACACATTCCTTCCCCCAGAAGCACCTTGGTAACCTGTTTACCTTGTAGCCAAGGTCCCAGTAACCTCAGCCTCGTCATACTGAGCTCCAAACCTGCAGTACCTTCAACACTATCCACACATTCCCAGCGGGCACACAAGCAGCTCAACACAGAGTTTATCTCTGAGCACCAACGCATGAGAAAGCCTCAAGCAGAAGTGTGATGCAGTGTGACAGATGAGCTGTGGTTGCAGTTCAACTCACTAGCCACTTCTCAAGCACTGAACCAGGTGCCGGACACTGTGGATACAACCCAAAGAAATGCACAATTGGGCCAAGTTCTTGCTTTATCACTTGATGGAAGATGTTCCTGAGCTGCCTGACTTGGTAAGAAGAGATGCCTACTGTTTTCAGAAAAGGGACGTGGCAGCAGGTCATAGAACACAACTACAAACAAGGAGAAGTGGTGGAACAAGCAGACGTGCTTTACTCTACCTGATGGAGGACGCTGCTGGATTTATATTTTGAATGAGAATAAGAACATAATATAACGGTTCCACACAGTGTATCCACAGAACCACAACAGGCTGATACTCCTAGGGTCTTACTGAAGAGGCAGGCCTGGTTCCAGACTGGAAAAAGAATACAGGCAGAACACGGTTCAAGTACCCAGGCAGGAGGCCAGGCCTACTCCACTTGCATGGGCAAATGGGTCATCAGCCCACGGTAAAAGATCAGAGGACATGGACTACATCTTCACGCAATGAGATATATATTTCAAGAGGATACACACAAATATATCCTGAAAGAATCTCAGTTTCAGCACTAAAGGTAACTGTGTTCAATTATTATAGTCTGGAATGATTTATGAAGAACAAAAGGAGTTGTTAATTCTGATGATTTCTCTCAAGAAATCGTGGAAAGATATTAGGCAGAGATATTTAAAAAGGGGGGGGGGGGATGAAGCAGGGTATTTGAAGAAAATACAGATGGCTTGCTGTGACTGAAGCACAAGGTACCAGTAAGGAGGCAGTGACACACACAAAGAGACCTGCATAAGCAGGGAAGGCAGGCAATCGGCAGACAGCACTGCCAACAAGCTAGCCACGGGCCACTCACGGCCACCAAGGCACCTCAAGCACAGACACTCCAAACACAAGGAGCTGAACCTGTCATTTCACTTCAAGTTGAAGCCACTGGCTTCCATATCAGAGAGCAGAGAAACTTCCTCACCAGGAAGACTCTATCTTATGCAAAAGGAAGGGGAGGGGGACCTACCCTGTGGCTCAACAGCTTAATCGTCCACCTTCAACAGCCGGCATCCCATATGAGCACTGGGTCATATTCCAGTGGCTCCACCTCCCATCCAGCTCCCTACTTGTGGCCTGGGAAAGCAGTTGAGGATGGCCCAAGTGGAACAAGCAAAAGTCCCGGAACAAGTTCCTGGCTTTTGGCTTTGAACTGTTTAGCTCCAGCCACTTGGGACCACTTGG